ATTGTTAAAATTAATGTAATCGTAATAGATACCTACAAATTTGTCTTGACATATAAAAAGTATCATGATTGTATCTATACTATAAAGTGGCTATTAAAATATGGCTAGGTGATTGGCCTCAGTCACTAACGCGTTCTAACTGTACTACTTCCCGGATMGGTTGTCACTCGGGTTTTTAGAGACCAATTCTTGTTACATATACACATATTCTAACTAATCCCCTCAACACATATACACGCAGTAATAAATCTACTAAATAATGCCATCAGAAGTCTAAACTCAATTATAATAATGAAAAATAATTATACATGCTTATGCTATAAATATCAAATTTTGTTTGAATATGTAACAAATATATTGTAATAACATTAATAAAGTAATAACCATATAATAATCATCAAATAGRAAAATTAAATATTATTGTAATGTTGTAATTTGGTTGAAACTATAATACAATTCGTAAAATTTATGACAAAAACCTAAAAATACATTTACAATTGCATTTAAATCCGTAATATATAACTTTAATGAATGGCACTGCTTATTTATTGTGTTATCGATGTATATATTTAGAAAGCTAAGCTTTTTTTTATAGTGTCATAAGTATTAAGTACTTTTAAAATGTTTGAACACTACTGTCTATTTTAATAATTATATTCAACTATAGATTATTTTTTATTATCAAACAATTGTTGTAAATACATTAATTGAAATTGAATCAAATTCCTGAGATGTAAAATTTTTATTTAACATATTTTATCATTCAAGGKTTAGCTATGAAACTCTAATTTTAACGAATGGAGTAATAAATATTATGAATCTTTCTTTAGGTACTATAAAATATGGTTAGCTCATATCAATAACAAATATCATAAAAAATTATAAATATCCCATATTATACTAAGATATGTGGAATCTACTGCTTAGAAACTTATAGTTACACGTTCTTATTTCATCTCGTGTTTGCGATCATTTAAACGATATTATATAATGTATTTTGGTTCAGACAATTGGTATTAACTAACTAGTATTTTACGATTTCGTTACAGTTCCTCCAATGTTGACTATTTCAAATCAACTGGTAGGTGGCTATATTGGTCAGGACATCAAGTTGGAGTGTCACACCGAAGCGTTTCCAACGTCTATAAATTTTTGGACAACCGAAAAGGGCGATATGATTGTCTCGGGTAAGCAACGAGATGACTGAATTAAGTAAAAATGAACAAAAGTAGATATGACGGTTTCAGGTGAAAAATATGAGGCCATATCTACGGACAGCGGGTACAACAAGTACATGATACTGAAGATAAGGAAACTGTCACCACAAGATTTCGGATCATACAAATGCGTGGCGAAGAATTCACTGGGCGAAACCGACGGATTYATCAAACTAGACCGTGAGCATGTTTTATTATTTCATGTACCTATAATTTATATTATAATCTGTTTGGATATTTATGTCATTCGAGTGCTGTCGACGTAGAAAAAAAGTTTTCGTTTTCTCATTACGGAAATGTCATGATTTTTTAATTAGATTAACGTATCGTGTAGTATATCATAGCGTTATTAGCTGCATAAGTGTAGCATTATTTTTACAATAAACATTACCATAAAATCTCACGAATAGGATCTGTTATATCTTATATGTATATTTTAGTTGTCTCCATACAAACAAGATAAAATTATAAGATTAAGTACTTCAATGTACATTTTCAGCACAGCACGCAAACCCTTATATTTTATCTGCCCCCCACCATAAACGCGCCAACATAAAGTGCAAMATTTAATTCATTAAAAAAATCAGAGTGAACATAAAAATAMTTTATCACGTGAAAAATATTGTATTCATGACATCGTTGCAATAATCAAAAGGCAATATGGCATAATTTCACTGATGAAATTCGCGTTTAAAACGTGTTTGACCAAAACTTATATCATCGACATATTATAATATATATATATATATATAGGTATATATAAATCAAGATACAATAACAGCTTACAAACGTTGTGAAACTCACTAAAACTTAACATCCACCTAGTCCACCCTTGTCTAGCTACACGGCACAATACACTATATAGGTATTTGGTCATCGGTTAAGTCGTTTTAAGAAAAACGCGCAACGCCATTTTTTTCGCTAACGGAATGCTTTAAAATGGAGCAGAATCGGATAAACGACCCAGCCGTTTATCACACTGTATWATATTATAATATATATACAGGGTGTCCCAAAGAGATCTGATATTCTGACAAATGAAATAACTTTTGTTCTAATCAATAATTTTTAAAAATGTCTTTTAAAYATAATCCATAGACACTTGAACTACATTTTTAGAATACATTTTTTATTTTTTAATACTGAAAATAAAAAACTTAAAAATTGATAAATTTTTTTTTCAAAATATTCAATATACCTAATTTGT